GGGGAGGCGGGGGGGGGGAGGGGGGAGGGAGGGGGGGAGTTTTGCAGATGCGCGGACCTTTCTGGGCTGGGTGTGTGGGCTTCAGGATGAATCTACTATCAGTCCTGTTGTTACGGGTAGTATTATTGTTTTTAGAAATACTACCATTATGATTGCTTTTCTTATGAATAAGATGATTATTACTACTATTGCTATTTCTATCAATTTTCATTATGAATATTATTTTTAATACTATTAGGATGCAAAAATGATCGTAGATGGAGGATGCAAACCTGAAAGCAGCATAGAATCCTTCGCGGGCCTCTACAAGGACACCATTTTGTCAGGAAGTCCTGCAAGGGGTACGAGGTTTAGGGATTTAGGGTTTGGGGTTTGTTGGGGGAGGGTAATCCAATAGAAACTCAAGGATGTGTTGCCAGCCCTACTTGGACGTTCAAGGTAGTGTTTTACCGACTCTTGCATCTACTTCTATCCCAATCACGTGCCCCCGAAGTCCTTGATGTGGTTATATTTGCGAGAATATTCGAAATTAGTTTATAACTGCCCAAGAACCTCCAAGTAAATTTCATAAGTCGTGCGCCAATCTTTCATTTGGCTGGGCGTGCTCTGACAGAAAGGTATCCCTTCAGACTTGAGAAGCCCCTGGCTAGGGCCTAGAGCCCTAAAACCCTAAAGAACCCTAAANNGAAAGCCTACTCTAAACCCTAAACCCTAAACCCACCTAGGAGTGTCGCAAGAAACCTTCTATAGCTTCATAGCTTGATTCCCTAGCCCTCTCCCCCGGCCCACTCTGGCGCGTCTAGGATTTAGGGTTAGAGGGTTTAGGGCCTAGGCCCAGCACAGTCTCCCTTAATCCTGGACACCCAACACCAACAAGGTACCCTCTAGGGGCGGCGTTGCGTCCCGACGAGATTATGAGCATCTTTGTTCGTGGACAGGGAATAACCCCAAACCCTAAGCCCTAAATCCAAAACCCTCAATCCCAGGCCTTCAATCCTCAACCCTAAAACTTGAATCCACAGCCCCAAACCCAAAATCCGAAACCCTATACCCTAAAACCCTAAACCTTAAACCCCTAAACCCTAAAACTCCCTGAACCCTAAAAACCTAAACCCTAAACATTAAACCCCTCAACCCTAAACCCCTAAACCCTAAAACCTTAAACCCCTAAACCCTAGAACCCTCAAAGAACTCGCCAGGTCTGTTGGAGTGGCCCTCATCAAGGATTCCAAGCTCATGTGGAGCGCTATAGGACACCACAGGGGGGGTGGGGGGGGGGGGTTTTATAGAGGAGATATTGGGGTTATATGGGGGGTAATGGAAAAGAAATGGAAACTACAGGGATTATAGGGATTATGTAGGGCTAGATAGGGAGATACATATGTGTATATGGGTGGTTGTCAAAATTGAGTTCTCTTTTGGGTACCCTAAAGATTAGGTGCCGTATTATCATAGGGATCCAACAAGGGACCATAATTTTGACAACCACCCATCTGTGTATATAGATATGAGAAAATACATATATATGTATATGTATATATGTATATATATATATATATTGTGCCGGGTTGAGGGCTGAGGGTGTAAGGCTGGTATTAACATTTCGCATAAACCTGAGCACCTCATACCCTGGGTAAGTATTGTATTGCAGCCTACTCACGTCATGTTGGGTTCTTAGCATCAACACTAACGGTGTCCACACAGACCTAACATGGAACTTGTTCCAGGGTTCCCATGAAGCGAACTCTGGTTCCTAGGGAACCTCTTGCAAGGTTTCATGCTCATGTAAAAACGGAGAAGCCCGAAACCATAAACCCTAACCCCTACTAAGCCCCAATTGGAGAGCTGGGGTCCAAACGGATGCGCTGCTCTGATGCCATGGGCATTTGCACATTACCTGACTACTCTGGCTTGTCTGGAACCTCTAAACCCTACACCCCGTGCATCCGTATAACCCCTTAAAGGAACCGTATGGATTCCCATGACTCCTTAGCGGGCTACCTGCTTAGAGATTGCAGGAATAGCCCGGTGATGCACAAATTCGTCCCGGATCAGTACAAGCCAACTTGGCTTGCAGTTTGTTCTGTGTTGCCGTAGCCGGACGAACATGTACCTAGACCACACGCTTAAGGGTTTAGGGTTCAGGGTATCGGGTCAAGGGTTTAAGGGTTTAGGGTTTGGGTTTGGGTTTGGGGTTTTGGGGTTTTAGGGTTTAGGTCCAGGGTTTGAGGGTTTAGGGTGTAGGGAAAATGATGGCCTCAACCCCATGAAGAGAGCCCAGCATGCAATTACGTTACGTTCTGTTGGGGTCCAAGTATTGGGGGCGCCTGAGCCTTCCTGATTCTTAGTAGGGACTACGGGAATACAGGGAACATATAATGAATTCCCTTACTGCCTACTAAATAAAGACCAGTGAAGAATGGCATGAGATATCCCGAGGGCGATGATGGGAAGTTTGGGGTTTTAGGGTTCAGGGTTTAGGGTAAAGGTTTAGGGTGTAGGGGCAAAGGAAAGTCTTGACTTCAGCAACGCATATCCAATCTTCCTTCCTTGATCAACCCCAGAAATCCCAATGCCCCTTACTCACGGAATATACCTGAAAAGTATGCTAGGGGTCCTTTTATGAATGAAGGTACGTATTCCTTCAACTGAAGCGTATTGGGCTCCCTGGAAGTAAACCCTGCCCCTAAACCCTAAAC